ACCTCTCCCGTCCACCGCAGAGTCGGGGAAGTCTCCGGCAAGGAGACACGGGGCCAGAGGTTGAGCTGATGCGCAGCGTATCGGACCGCAAACGGCCACAGAAAGTGGGGAGCAGCCGCATGGGTCAGGGAGGTACGAGCGACCTCCATGACTAGGCCAATGCGGCGCTCAGCGACCCCATTCTGCTGCGGAGAGGCCGGAAGCGTGAACGACTGCTCAATGCCGTGCTCAGCACAGTAGGCTGCCAAGAGGTCGGAGGCGAACTCACCACCTCTGTCAGAGTGCAAGCGCAGGACAGGAAAGTCCGAGTGAAAGCGCTTGCCTAGCTGGAGACGGGCTCGGCTGATCCAGGGGATCAAAACACCAGGGACGTCACCCTTGGCGCGCAAGGGGAAGACCGTGGTGTAGCGCGAGTAGTCGTCAACAACTATCAGGAAGTACCTCTCCTGACCCTGACCACGGACGCGGGCTGGGCCCCACACGTCCATGTGGAGCGTCTGCAAGGGAGCAGTCGTCGGGGGAAAGGAGGAGGAGTGAGGAGCGGCGCGCTGCCGCCCCTCGACACAGGGAATGCAGTCAGGAGCAGGGGAGTCGGGAAGGGGAGGGAGCACCCTGGGAAGACCAGCAACAAGGTCCCGTTTGTGCATGGCCCGAAGGCGCTGCACAGACGGGTGACCAAGGCGGTGGTGCCAGAGGACAGTCTCATGCGCCAGAGAGCGACACGAGCAGGGGGCGGACAGCTGACCTGACGCAGACGCAGACGCAGCTACCTGAGGGGACTCAGTGGTCAGTGTGTACAGGTCCGACCCCGGCTCTCGAGTGAAAGTAGCCAGGTGGCGGCCCGTCCGAGCACACGTGCAGTGTGTCACACGCTCATAGGCAGGGGTGAACTGGTGAACACCCCCGTCCTGCAGCGCACAACCTGCCACCAAGTTCGTAGAGAACGAGGGGAGGTAGAGACCTGAGAGCGTGCCGGACGGAACCGCTGGACACGGAAGTGTAGTGGAGGAGGTCGCAATGACCGGACCCCCAGAGGGGTCAGCAAGAGAGACAGCAACCGGCCGAGCTAGTGGCTCAAGGACAGTGCGGTCACGAAAGAAAGAGCGAGAAGCACCTGAGTCCAGTGTGAAGGTGTGCAGTGCTGCAGTCGACTCAGTACCAGGGGGGACAGACGCACGAGCACCTAGGGCAGCTGCTGCAGCAGGACCTGTGGGAGCAGACACACTAGCACCTAGAGCAGCAGCTGGGCTGGCCTGAATGCCCGGGTCGGGCGGAACACGCAAGTACTGGGCACCCTCTCCACTAATAGACATCGCATACATAGCAGTGAGAATAGCATCAAAGTCTAAAGCCCAGATATCAACACCCTTCTTTTCCAGCTCAGGCCAGCGGGGGAGCTCAGTAGACCCAGGAAACTGGATGCGCCACGCGTCAGTCAGGCGCTGGAAGCAGCGCTGCGTGGGGTGCGGCCTCCCACATGGCTGGCCAGTGCGGTCACCAGTGCGGATGACGTACGTGCAAGTGTACCCACGCTGCGCGTACCACTCACGGGCGGCCTGGAGGGTCGGGGCGTGCTGCTGACTCTGGCCACCTCCAGCGTCTCCACGGCCACCACCGCCACCGCCACCGCCACCGCCTCGGCCACCTCCACCCCTGCCACGGCCACGACCGCCACCGCCGCCGCTGCCACCTCCGCCTCTGCCACCACCCCCGCCGCCGCTGTCACCACCCCCACTGCCGCCACTAGCCTCTCCAGACCCACCGCCACCTCCACTGTCTCCACCCCCGCCTCCCCCGCCTCCACCCCCACCCTTGCCCCCCCTGCTCTTGCGGCGCCCGCTCGAAGCAGACGCAGCCCCGACCTTCTCAGCACCAAGGAGGTCGACAGCAGCAGCAGTGGCGACAGAGGGGAGAAGGGGGGAAGGGGAACACCCCTCGAAGAAGGGGGTGCGGGGCTCGCCACGAGAGGCACCTACGGCGACGATGCTCGCCTCAGCTGCAAGTAGGTCCTTCTCGAGGAGGGCAATGGTGAGTTCAGTAGGGGAGCGAGCTAGAAAGGAGTCCCTGACTGTGCGCAGAGAGTCAGGGAGGCGGGTGACGATGTGGTAGAGGGTGAGCCAGAGCGGGGGGGGGTTGCTAGCAAGGAACTCGGCAGGCATAGCAGCGCGAAAACGGGCCTCACTAGTCTTGAGGTGGGTGATGAGATCAGCGACAGTGTGAAAGGAGGCCAGGTCGGGGAACAGGTAGGGCAGGGAGAGGCGGCCTAGGGTGGCAGACGCAGGCGAGGAGTAGCGAGCAACTACGGCTGTGTACAGTTCCTTAGCAGTCTTGCACTGGCCGAAGTGCTCGCGCTCATCTAGCGGCAGGGAGTTGCGGATAGCAAAGCGAGCGTGTGCGTCGCGGGTCTGCCACTGGGAGCGCAGTGTGCTAGCAGCAGAGGAGTCAGGGGCAGTAGCATGGCCTAGGGCGTGGTCGTACAGTGAAATGTCTTCCTTGGCAGTGAGCTGTAGGAAAAGGTGCAGATCATCGAGCCAGGTGTCAAATTTCACTGGGCGGCCCTCAGCGTCGAAGGCTAGAACAGGAGCAGTAGCCATGGTAGCAGGAGGAGGAAAAGTAAGTAATAAACGTGGCAGTGACAGTAGCAGCAGGGCAAGGCAGGGCCGGGGCAGTCGCGACAGCGGCGGCAGTTGCTGCAGGTTCGGCTAGAGTAGGGACTGCAGGGCCGGCGGCGGCCGATGGAGTAGACTCGGCGGTTGCGGCTGCTGCAGGATCGGCGGCGGCTGCTGCTGCTGGGTCGGCGGCGGCTGCTGCTGCAGAGGCAGCGGCGGCTGATGCTGCTGTAGCTGCGGCGGCCGCTGCTGTAGATTGCGGCGGCTGCTGCTGCCGTAGATGCGGCGGCGGCCGCTGCTGTAGATTGCGGCGGCTGCTGCTGCCGTAGATGCGGCGGCGGCCGCTGCTGTAGATGATGCGGCAGCTGCTGCTGCTGTAGATGCAGCGGCGGCTGCTGCAGAAGATGCGGCGGCTGCTGCTGCTGTAGATGCAGCGGCGGCTGCTGCAGAAGATGCGGCGGCTGCTGCTGCTGTAGATGCAGCGGCGGCTGCTGCAGAAGACGCGCCGGCTGCTGCTGCTGTAGCTGCAGCGGCGGCTGCTGCAGTAGATGCGGCGGCTGCAGCTGCTGTAGATGCAGCGGCGGCCGCGGCAGGAGAGGCGGCGGCGGCTGCTGCAGCAGTTGCGACGGCCGCGACTGCAGTCTCTGCCGCGGCTGTTGCTGCAGGCCCGACCGCGGCGACGAAGGCGCGGGGGGTCGAGCGCAGCACACAAGGCGCGCGGGCAGCGCGACGGGCCGCGCGCGAAGAAAAAAAAAGAACCACGCGCGCTGGCGGCTAGCTAGGCACACGTGAAAAATGGCTGCGCACGGGCTGCTGGCTGGTCGCGCGCACGAAATAGGCCGCGCGCGGGCGGCTAGCAGATCGCGCGCGGTAAAAAAAAGATGGCGCACTAGGGGCGCAATAGGAGGCGCACTAGGGGCGCTTGATAGGTATGTAGGTAGGTAGGTAGGTAGGTGGGCCCTTAAGAACGGTCCTAGGGAAGGACCTGCTCTGAAACCATGTCAAGATTACGAGACTGGAATGATTGAACTAACAGAGAGATCAGTACAAATAGCAAACCCTAGAATTGTGTACCCCATATAGGCTAACCCACTGTAGCCTAACAAACCCAACATATATAATGTTTGACACAAGCGACTGCCAGGCAGCAGTACCAGCACAGTTTCAACCTCACAGAATTGTTCATGCGAGTCAGCCCTCAGCACGCCCAGGAATGAAGGGGGGAGTTGAGATATGAACTTTTATGAGAAGGCATTCCTGCACGCTACAGGGGCCACCTCTAACGAGTACAACGATGAGGAGTAAGAAGAATGGAAGCGACACTAGCAACTGTGAGGTCAAGACTGGTGTAGGCAAAATCATTTGAAGTGAAAAGAGCAGGAACATGTTTGAAACTGGTTCCCGCGCCGCACGGTTTGAATTTCGCTGCAATAAGGGAATGTACCCCTTAGAGTACATGGCTAGCTAGGACGTTTCGTCTTCCTCTATGTTTCCTATATAAACTCGTTGTATGCATGTTATTATCATCTCAGTCATTTTACATTCACTCTGACCTGAGGTCAAATAAAACTTCCGCTGCAACATCACCTGCAAACAACCCTGAGCCGATCCTTGGCTAAGACCTGCTTAGGATTGTAACAATGTGGAAGTTTAAGGGGGGGTTGGTGGTGAGGAATGTGGAAAGGTAAATGGATAGTAAGATTAAATATGGGGAAAAAGGGTTGGTTCCAAGATAGACATGTAAAACAATCGGATGAGGCCATATGGACACTCGATGAAATACGGTTAGACCCAAATGCAGCACTCTTGGTGGTCATGCTAAATTGACTTCGGAAGACCCATCGATTCGGTGCCACATGGCAGCACCAGGAACATTCGAGACCTAAGAAGAATTCGGATCGGTGAAATTCGAGGGTCGAATTTCACCCCTTCGAAATGTTACTCGAACATTCGCGAAGTGTAGCGATGCGATGTTACGAACGCGGTTCGATGTTGATTGCATGCTATAAAACTAGTTGCTTTGTATTGCATGGATAATAGTGAACATTGTGAATCACTTTGTGTGAAATGCATTCAACAACAAATTCCAGAGAGCTCCTAGCCTACGTTCCAAGAGCACTACCTAGCACATAAACGCCTATTTCTCACTCGATACTAAGGCAATCGAGGTGATCTACGGCTCGTTGGAAAGCTAGCAGAGTGCTCTACTGCTGAGAAAAATTCCAAGTTCCTGCCAACTAGAGGACACGCCTCTACAACAGTGGTATCAGAGCTGGTCGGAGGAGTCTACGCGCGCGACGAGTAGCTATCATGGTGACGTCAAGTGTGGCCTCCCGCACTTCTTTGGATGGTGTCGTTGTAAATTCCAGCAAACCCTGGGCAGCCGCGACGATGTACGACACGTCGGCGGTACCGATTTTCACGGGACAAAACTACTCCGCGTGGAAGTTTAAGTTCCAAGTGCTCATGATGGAGCGGGGACTTTGAGGGCTCTTTGATGGAACGGAGAAAAAGCCGACGAGTAACGAGAGCGACATCGCAACATGGAAGAAGAAGGACCAAAAAGCGTTCGCTCCGCTAATCTCGCGGATCGGCATCAACCTCGTGAGCTCGGTGCGCACGTGCATCAAGCTCGAAGCGTCGGCGCATGAAGCGTGGAAGCGGCTCGAGATGACTCACGTGAACAAGACTCTCCACGGCAAGATCCTAGCCCGGAATGCGTTCTACACGGTGAAGTTGCACGCGGGCGAATCGATGCACGAGTATGCGACTCGTGTGGAGGAACTCGGGGAAACGTTCGTAGACCTCGGTGGAACGGTCACGGAGGAGGATTGGATTTTGACCTTGCTTTGCGGCCTTCCGGAAGAGTGGTCGACGGTGATAACGACACTCGATAGCGTGCAAGACACTTGGACAAAGGAAACGGTGGTCGGTCGGCTTCTCCATGAGGAATCGCGTCGCCGACAATTCGCTAATGAGAGCGTGGAGACCGCCATGTTCTCCGGAGGGAGTTCCGGAGGAAAGTCCAAGTGGAGCAAGGGTGCGACGAAGAAGTCGTACGGTGGAAGCGATCGCGGCAAGGGGAACACATCAAACGGCGCGAGCAAGTGCCACTATTGCGGCAAAGCGGGACACTTTTGGTGTCGGAAGCGCCCTAGCGATTGGACTCCATCGAAGGCGCGGGACGAAGAGGGCAACGTGCACACGGCATCCGGCGAGGCCGATGATTCAAAGGAGTCGCTCGTGTTAGTGGCCGGCAATGGGAACAAAACTCCAAATGACGTGTGGTTTCTCTATATCGGTGCAACGCAACACATGACGCACTCGGCGTCGCTCCTCAACAACATTGGCGCTCCGGGAGACGTCATGAGCATCGTGTTCGTAAACAATGAATCGCTACCGGTGGTTGGAGTTGGGAGTACACGCCTCATCGTCGATAGCGGACCGGTAGACGTCACAAACGTGCTTCACGTCCCGGGGGTGAAGGTGAACCTTCTATCCGTCCCGCAACTTGCGAAGAAAGGCGTGATCGCCACCATCGACGGTGCGAACATGAACCTCTTTTGGAAGGGGAAGCAATTCGCACAAGGCGTTCTCAACGGAGAACTCTACCAACTCAAGACGCACCCAAGAGCGGCTTCATCCAACGTGGCGCAAGGGTCCAAGCCAACTCTCAAGGCGTGGCATAATTGGCTTGCGCACGCTAACTACGAGTCGGTCAAGGAGCTCAACAAAGGACTCGCGAGAGGAGTCGACGTGATCACCGGCGACGACGAGAAGGGCGTGTGCGCGGCGTGTGTCGAAGGAAAAATGGCTCGCAAGCCATTTGGTAGCCGTACCTCACCTCTCGCTAAGGACCCGCTTGCGCTCGTTCACATGGACGTGTGTGGACCGATGCGGCATGCCTCAAAGGGAGGAGCGCGGGTTCTCTTGGTGATGCTCGACGACGCGACGCGGATGTGTTGGACCCGACTCTTGAAGGCTAAGAGTGATGCGGCTAAGGCGATTCAAGAGTGGGAGCACGAAGTTTGCGACGACGACAAGAAGCGGATCAAGGGCATTAAGCACGACATTACAACGCCCTACACACCCCAACAAAATGGAGCGGCGGAGCGGCTTAATCGCACGTTGGTGGAAGCCGTTCGTTCACTACTTCAACACTCCAAGCCTGGGAACGAGTGGTGGGAAGAAGCGAGTGCGCTAGCGGCGTGGATTCGCAACCGTTTGCCGACCAAGGTGCTACCGGGAACGACTCCGTTCGAAGCATGGACCGGAACGAAGCCGAACCTATCCCGCCTACGCACCTTTGGGTGCCTTCGCTGCTACCATTTACCGGATCCCCTTCGCCACAAGTTGCAACCGAAGGCTCGTGCGGCAATCTACTTGGGAATTGTGGCGAACGAGCGTACGTGGCGAGTGCGGGACTTGGGTGAAAGGCGCGTTGTCACATCTCGGGATGTGGTCTTTGACGAAGACAAGTTCCCGACGAAGGAGAAACCATCTCAACAAGTCACCTTCATCCTTCCGGCGCGAGAGGAGGTTGAAGAAAGTGAGGTTCCACCTCAAGTGGAGAAGGAAGCCGAAGATGGAGGGGGAGAGAACAACAAGGAGAGCGTTGATGATGTCGTGGAGGTGTCACCAACCGAGACGGCAACTACCTCCACACCTTCCTCCCTACCATTAGCCTTGGCTCGCGAGCGTCGCGAGGTTCGTCCTCACCCCCAAGTACAAAGACTACGCTACAGTAGCCGTTGGGGAGACGGATAAGGAGGGCGCGGCATTTTGCTTCGCGACAAAGGGTGATGACGAACACGCGGAATCTCTCATGGAACCACCCCCTAAAGATCCATCCCCTACGTGCTACGAGCATGATGGATTGCACGCCTAGTGGGTTGGGTGCAAGGGGGAGTGTTGGAGGTTGAGTGTGGTTGAAACAAGTGGTGGTGGGGTGGTTGTATGCCCCCAACCCACCGAACGTGTTACTTCTAGTGCTCACTTTCGAGTGAGTTGCAGGTTTGCGTGGGGTTGAAGGATTGACTTCGGAAGACTCATCGATTCGGTGCCACATGGCAGCACCAGGAACATTCGAGACCCAAGGAGAATTCGGATCGGTGAAATTCGAGGGTCGAATTTCACCCCTTCGGAATGTTCCTCGAACATTCGCGAAGTGTAGCGATGCGATGTTACGAACGCGGTTGATTGCATGCTATAAAACTAGTTGCTTTGTATTGCATGGATAATAGTGAACATTGTGAATCACTTTGTGTGAAGTGCATTCAACAACAAATTTCGGAGAGCTCCTAGCCTAAGAAGAGCACTAAGACAGAAAAGAAGAGGGAGAGAGAAAAGAAAGAGAGAGAGAGAGAGAGAGAGAGAGAGAGAGAGAGCGAGAGAGAGAGAGAGAGAGAGAGAGAGAGCGAGAGAGAGAGAGAGAGAGAGAGAGAGAGCGAGAGAGAGAGAGAGAGAGAGAGAGAGCGATCTAGAGCTCTCTCGAGAGAGAGAGAGTATCTCTCGAGCTAGATCGAGCGCTCTCTCGATCATCTCTCCCTCTCTCTCTCTCTCTCTCTCTCTCTCTCTCTCTCTCTCTCTCTCTCTCTCTCTCTCTCTCTCTCTCTCTCTCTCTCTCTCTCTCTCTCTCTCTCTCTCTCTCTCTCTCTCTCTCTCTCTCTCTCTCTCTCTCTCTCTCTCTCTCTCTCTCTCTCTCTCTCTCTCTCTCTCTCTCTCTCTCTCTCTCTCTCTCTCTCTATCGACCTATCGTAACATGTTATCGTAGTCTGATTTCGTAATGCTTATGATTATGCCCACCTTAGACAATTCTAAAATACTAACTTAGAGGCCGAAGAAAAATAGATATCAGATTGCATCTAGCAACCTGCAAACGTGCAGATTGGCAATTGGCAAGGTGGTTTGAGCTAGGTTGGGTTGCAAGACAGTCAAAGTAAGAGCATGAAGATGAACTTGCAAGTCGAGAAAAGGTCGATATGTTTTATCTGTTGGAAACAGTAAATCTTAAGCGCCTCTGTCGTGTCGAAACATCGCACCAGAAGCGAAGCGAACTATATTGAGGCACACGCGAGTCAACCCTCGGAGGTTGAAAGAGGTTGCTGGAGGTTACGCGAAAGTCAAAGGTCAGCGACCTTTGACCTAACAAGTACAGCGCGACAGTAAGGACACACAACTGACTCGCTACAGAGCAGTTGCCCGAGTCGTGACCGTATCGAACCGCAACAGCAACAGTAAAGCAGTTATAACCGTATCCTTTCATATTCCTTGTACTCATATATAAATGCTTGTATCTCTTTGCTTTAATCAACTTACTTTGCCCTCACATACTAGCGCAAGGTGGTTCACAACTTCTTCATTAAACGCTTCCGCTATTACAATTGTCCTACCCCGAATTTACCCCTGCAAAGATCCTAAGGGCTTTTTCTCAGCCCAACATGGTATGAGAGCTATCAGGGGAAATTCGACTACTATCAAGTCATCAACAGACAACATGGCAACATACAAGGAAAGGAGTTCCTCTAATGGTTCTCCCGGGACTACTCCTACCCCACCTCCTGCCTCTGGACTACAAACAGAGGAAGGAACCGCAACGGGACCAGCAGCGCCTTCAGCCAGCCAGCCTGCCAGCTTCGACCAGAGTATGATGGAGAAGTTTTTCTCCTTCATGTCGTTTTACGAGCAACACCAGCAGTCGGCACCTGCGCAGTCAAACAACAGCAACAACAACAACGTGACTCCAATGAGTCTCGACGGCTCATCATATGCGCGCGGAAACCAGCAACAACCTACCTTTGCTCCGTATGAACGCGGGTCCATTAGCTTCATGCCGCACCCGCAAGCTCCACCTGGACAAGAAAAACCACTGGATGCACTGCAAGTTCAGTCGCAATTCGCACACGTCTTGAAGCTGCAGACGTCAAGGCCCTTCGACGGAAAAGACTTCTTTACCTGGTCGTTCGAGTTCGAACTCATGATGGAAGGCGCACAGATACTTGGCTTCTTCGACGGGTCTGTGCCATACCCAACAAACGGCACACAGTATGAGAAGCAGCAGTACACATATCAGTCGATGATGGCGTATACGATCCTACTGAGAAACATCACCCCAACTCAGCAGCAGAACATACGGTCTTACCGGGGATTCGGCAACTCCGCGGAACTCGCGTACAAGCACCTGAAGGACCTGTATCAAGCAACAGACAGCGTCAACCAAAGTCGGTTAATGGCGCAATTGACAACGGTCGAAATGAAACCAGGCGAGAAAGGAATGGCATATATCAGCCGATGTCGCGAACTGCGCGACAAGCTTCTTCGATGCGGAGGGTCAATCTCTGAAGACGCCTTCGTGACAGTCATCATCGGCGGCCTCGGTCCTCAATGGCGCGCAACAAAGGCCATCCTCCGAGCCCACGGAAGAATCTCCGAAGCAGCGCTCTGCGCCAAAATTCACTCCGAGCAGCAAGACATGGACCTACAAGAAGAACGACACAAGAGAAAGACATCAGTACCGGAATTCGCGTTTCACACTCAGCGACGGTACAACAACAACAGCAACCGACAACAACCAAAAATCGTACCTCCGTTCTGCCACATCTGCAAGACGTCAGGGCACCCACATACGCACTGCCCGAATCGACAATAGTCGACGCTTCCACAGCGACAACTTCGACCCTCAAGCAACCAAGTCGCCTCAACGCAAGCGAATCCCACGACTCAAATTCAAGCTTCAACGACCTCAACGGGACAACCTGCACAAGGAGCAAGGAACATCGTCAGTTGCATGGCAAGATTGACCGACTCCTGCGTCACTGAATCACCACCACATTACTCACCGGAAGAACAGCTCGACAACAGCACGCCCCGCCGCGAGTCACTGCAGCCGAACCCGACATACGCCGCCATCGCCCAGAGTGAGCCATCCGGGAAGGACACATGGTTCTTGGAAAATTGCTGCGGACAGCACATGTGTTCTTCAGGACGCTTCGTACAACGTGAATACCAACTCCTACGTGAAGTAGTCATCACCGTCGCCAACAACCAGAACCTGCACACACGACGGCAAGGCGTAGTTCAACTTCAGTCACGGGAGACAAACGTCATACTGCAAATGACGAAGGTCTTAATAGCAGAAGGACTCGGCTACAACTTACTCAGCGTCAGCCAGCTGATGGCGAAAGGCATCCACCTTGAAGCAGACAGCACCGCTCAAGAGTTCAAGCTGTACCACGGGAAGGGCGGTCTCTACATCGGAAAAGCAGTCCTGAAAAACAACGTCTTCGTTCTCGATTTCGTTCCAGATCTTGGCACCGCCGACAGCGACGGCATCGTCAGCTTTGCTCCTTGGACACATCCACCGGACCTTGATCCAGACTTCAGCCCCGGTGGTTTCTGGCACTCTCACACGATACCTGAGGCAGAACGAACAAGAGCATTAGCAACGATTCAACAATCGGCAGCAGCAGAGACAACATCGGCAGCAGCAGAGACAACGTCGGCAGCCGTAGAGACAACAACATCGGCAGTGGCAGAGACAACAACGGTAGCAACAGAAAAAAGGACGACAGCAGCAGCAGCAACATCGACACCAAGCGTCGGTCCTTCAACGGCACCAATCTTCATCAATAACACGCCACCGACACCCGCACAGCAGTTAAACCCGGCACCACGAGAAGTCCACCGAAGTGCCAATATCACCGCCGGCTTCTACTCAAACTCAGACATGTATAGACGCTCACCCGGGCACCGCGCCAGCGAAGACATCTGGCACGCACGGATGGGACACCCAAGCAACACAACGTTAAACAACACGATAAGAGCAGGAGTACTCGACAAAGACTCCCTACTACTGCACGACGGGAGAGAACTTCAACGAGTCAGAGGAACATGCTTCACCTGCCCCGAAGCCGACTTACCGCATCAGCCGTTCGTACCTCACCACAACCCAAGCGCACCTGCATACACACCACTTGAGAAGGTATACAGCGACATCCTGTACAATCGCGCAACAGGGCAAGGAGCCTACAATTACACCATCACCTTCATCGACGCCGCCACTCGATACGTCTGGCATCTCAACCTTCCAAGCCGCGACATGGCTTTCGAAGCCTTTGTCGCCTGGCTTCCAGTTGCGGAACGAGAATCGAGAGCTAAGCTGAAAAGCTTTCAGTCACACGGGGGAGGAGAATACACCTCACAAAGGTTCAAGCAGTACTTGGCGGAAAGAGGAATCAAGAAACTCATCTCCCTCCCCTACGCTCATCAACAGCAGGGTGTAGCAGAAAGGATGAACAGGACTCTGCAGAACACCATGCGCAAGCTGCTACGTGGCATGCGGCTACCCACCCACCAGTGGCCTGAGGCGATGGACCACGCTGTCATGCTGCACAACTTGCTGTCTTCGTCGTCACTCCCGAACAACGCATCACCGCACCTGTTGTGGACAGGAAAACTGGGCAGCACAAAAATGTTACGAGTTTTTGGGTGCATGGTACAGTACCGACCCCCAACTGCACGAGCCGGCCGATTCTCCCAACGAGCACAATGGGGACTACACCTGGGCATCGAAAAGAACTACAACGCGTGGAAAATTTTCGACGTCCACTCAAAAGAAACAGTACCAGCACGCGACGTCATCTTCTACGAGCGACTCACCCTCGACTCCTACCTTGCCAACTTGGCAGAACAGCGAGACCTCACCAGTGGATTCCGTGGAGACAGAGCCTTCGCTTCGGCAGCCGACGAAGCTGACCTGGACGAGCAGA